TTTATTATATACAACTATTTTGCAGAAGCAGCGTCAAATCTACAGTATAAAACTACCATTAGGCAGAAAAATCAATCAAAATGCCATTAAAGTAGAATAAGTTGCCAATATTGCTGATGTGGTTGCAGGTCCTTTGATTTTCTTTCAGATTATTAGGCACAGTCTAGTAGTGACTTTGTTAAGGGAAATGAGTGTTGTTCAGAAGTAATATGTCTCTTGGCTTCATAAAGTTTGTGGCCTCATATTTCCCAGTTTATTGATTATCCATTATCATTTGTCATGAGGCGTCCTAACTCAAGGGGAAAATATAACTCTCTTTTTCTTGCTGAACGGTAGTGCGGTATAGATTTGGAAGAAGGTATTTCAGATGTACCAATCTTGGAGAAAAATGAGTAAAGAAATAAAGCAGTGAGTGTTGTGCCTTCTAGGGCTAAGCAGTTTAAAGGGGATAGTGCTGACAATACTTATTCCAACATTATCCCCTTTTTACACACCTTATGATTCAAGCACACAAAAATACAAAACACAGATGCATAGGGAAATCTATACAGTTATATGCAATATATGATTTTTACTGTTTATTGAATAATGTTTAATTGTTCACTCCTATCCATTCAGACGTAATTCCAACTGACCTTTTCAATACTTCATTTAATCTTCCTTTATTTGAACATTTTATTCAGAATAAAAAAGCAGCATTAGTAAGAGCTGAAACTAAAGAAAAAGAAAACTACAAATTTGAAGCTGATGCTTTGTATAATTCCTGACACGACCAGATGTTTTTCTTAATGCTATAGTTAGTGTTGTTTTTATTTTCTTGTTAAAGGCCACAGCTTTTTAGACATATCTGCACATTGTATAATAGATAGATGAAAAGGACATTTAATGCCAGAACACTAGTAAATGGAATCAATCAATATACCTCCCTCCCTCTCTCCCTCCCTCCCTCCCTTCCTCCTTCTCTTTCTCTCTTTCTTTTACTTCTCCAAACATTTTGGATTTTCTCAAGGAGGAATTTTGGAAGGAATGGGGAGGAACAGTCTGAAAGTAAGGTGGAAGAGAGGAAAAAGGAAGGAAGGAACTACCATGCTATAAAAATGTAGAGAGGACTGTAACAGTCATGACTGAATCAGAAAAGATTTCTGATATTCCATTTATGTTTTCCACAAGTAAACTCAATGAGTGAGCCAGCAGGAAGTCAGTGCTCCCACTGCTTTTTTGCATGCCTTTGATCATTCTGTTTCTATATTTAGGTAAGGAAATACATTTGAAATAATGCCACAGTTGCTAAGTGAAAAATCATACGACTGTACTGGACTTACAACTGCCTCTGTCATTGAGCAAATTGCCACAATCATTAAGCAAGATACCATTGATATGACAAGTTCACATCCATGTTCTTCATTAATTCTGTTTGTTGGAAGTCAGTTGTGAAATTCCTAACTCCTAGCTACAGTGGCCGTAAATGTGAAGATTGAGCCCAATGGGTTTTTTTCCAACCGTCATAATTGTGAATAGTTGCCAAGCAAGGCAGTTGGCAAGTGAGAAGTACCTGTACCAAGTAGTTATGCCTCTGTATCACACTGTTTACATGCATTATTGAATATTATATATTTATCTAAGCTTCATATAGCTTTAAAATTAGGATAGAAGAGAGAGTTTGGAATAAAGATACAGACCTGAACATTGCAGAAAAGCTTATGGATGTATAGTTTGGTTACTCTATATGTAAGCAAGAAGATCATGAGAGATATGCTGATTTAGGAGGCAAAGAAAGTTTTTCTTTGTGTAAACGCTACCATGTAAGGGAAACGGGCACATAATAATTAAATAAATACACAAACAAATAAATAAATAACCCATAGTTAAAATGGGAAATTTTCTACTGAAAGATAAGGCAATGACCATTATCTTAGATACTTTTTAAAAGGAACTGAAGACACTAGTAGAAGATCATGCTATCAGATGTCTATTTTGATAGCCCTTTACTATCCCCAGAGTTATGGACAGAATAACATAAGTGCCAATTGAATGGATCTTTTTAGTTAGTGTATGACATTGAATGCTGTTCTAGCGTGTGTCCTTAGCTAGCTAGAGCAGGGTCTTATGTAATTTCCATAGTCACCATACAGCATCTGACTGGCAGTTGAAATCCAATTCAATGGATTACAATAGATTTAGGAAGGCTAAACTGTGACTCTCTTCAGAATGTAGTGTCATGAAACTGATACTGTTTAACTGTCCAATTTTGTATTTTTGTTTGCCTTTGCTATTGATGAACAGCATAGCTAATTAAATCAATCATATTTACAATGGTAAACATATCTTGACTGGATATTTCTATTAGAATTCAGTGCTTTAATTAATTAATTAATTTTACGGAATAACGGCGACAACATCTTTACCTAATATAGAAGAGTTATAGTGTGAAAGCTGAATCATCAGAAAGGCCAAACAAAGAAAAATCAATGTCTGTGAATTGTGGTACTGAAGAAAAGAGTTAAGAGTACCTCAGACTGCAAGAATTATTCCCTACCAAATGAAGTAAATCCACACTGTTGCCTAGGAGCACAAACTATGAATTTAAAACTTAAATAATTTGGACACATAATGGATAGGCAAGAGTCATCAGAAAAGAAAATCTTGATTTTTAAGGCAATTGCTATAGGCAAGCAGAAGACCAGATGGTTAGATAATGTCAGTGGTGACACAAGCATGAGATCACAAGACCTCTAAGAAGCAGTTACAAACAGTCCTGGAGAGATGTTGTTCACCAGGTCCTAAGAAGTAAGTCAACAACAAGAACAGTGCCAATGTTGTTGAAAATAGTAATTAATCTAGCCACAAGAAAGTATTCAGAGGTGTCAAGTTGCTATAATTTACATTATAATTATGCAGTGGAAATTATATAATGTTTGTTTATGTATTTGAAAAAAAATTGCATGGCTGCCTATAATTTGTGTTGTGGGGAAAATAGGCAGGCGATTGGGCATGTTTGATGCCTTGAGTTTTTATACATACATACCAGAAGTGGGTTGCTCCCAGTTTGGCCAAACCGGTAGTGGAATTTGGGCCTGGGTCGCAGAACCAGCAGCAACCCAGGCCTGCCATGCCCCCAAACTGGTTCCCTTGCTGCCATTTTGTTTTTTAGTGACTGTGCGTGTGCAGTTCACTTTAAATTATTCTGCATATGTGCAAAGAATAATTTACATTGAACAGTACACGCACACGTGCAGGGCACATCTGGTGCATGCAGATTGCACCTGGTAGTAAAACTGACAGCAAGCCACCCCACATACATACATACATACATACATACATACATACATACATACATACAAAACACATAGACAAATACAGGCATGCACACACACACACACACACACACCAAATCTTCCCTTCTTGCCCTGTTACTTGGTGCATATACATTTTTGCACCTTCCTTTTCACTGAAACTATTCATTTCTCTTCCCTTCAATTTTGTTATAATATTTTCTGTGGAGTTTGTGTTAAGTCAGATGGTCGGAATTCTACAAAGAAGCATTATGTCCTTGAATCATGTTTATTTTTCTTTTGAAAGCCACACATAATAAGTGAACAAATAAGTACTATAAGTAAATAAATAAAATCAGACTTCATATAAAGCTTTGGAGTCAATATATTTTTTGGTTTCAACTGTTTTTTGCATCAAATTGGTCAACTACTAAAGAAAGGAGGAAGAAGTAAGTGTGGGTATATATAAGAGAGAGAGTGAGTGAAAGTATAAATAAGCAGTATATTTATTTTTTCCCTAACTCTAAGTCCAATACAATTATAAGTTTATTTTTTGAATTGGCTGTATAAATTCATTTGATCATTTTATGGAGTTACAATACCACAATTTTGAGAATAGTAGAATCTATTGTTAGAAAAGTAAATTTTGTGTCTGTATGTGTGTATCCAAATTAATGGATGGATGGATGGATGGATGGATGGATGGATGGATGGATGGATAGATAGATAGATAGACGAGAGACAGAGACAGAGAAATAGGCAGGCAGGCAGGCAGACAGACAGACAGACATATAGATATATACAGATATAGAGATAGATAGATGGTAGATGATAGGTAGGTAGGTAGGTAGGTAGGTAGGTAGGTAGGTAGG